AATTTATATATTCAAAATAATCCAAGAATATTAGAAGAAACTTCAATAAAACATTCAATTCTTATCTTCTTATTCATTCAATCATATGAGATATTCGTAATATAAATTTATGAAAGGCTTAAAAAAATAGCGCAAAGATTATAAAATTAAATTGTGCCTATAAGAAATATTCTCTTTTCACGGATAATACTTATTATACATTATAATAAAATTAAAAGATAAAATATCGATACTTCTAAACTTTAATACATTGCCAAAACATGATTCAAATATTATTTGAATAAATAAATCAAATAAATTTCATATTAATTCGTATTTAATAAAATTTTAATTCGTATATTTTATAAAAATTACTTTAAAATTTTTTTATTTTGAAAATTTTTCAACAAATGAATTTATCTAACAATATGCAATCTATCATTCGATTGACACAATGTGCAAAGTTTTTTAAAGTTAACTTAAAAATAACATCACTCTCTCTATATATATATATATATATATATATTTGTTTCAGTTTGTTAAAAATTTTCCATGAACTTAATATAAATTAGAATAAAAAACTTTTTCGTTCGATATCAGCATTATGCTATTATAAAACTATATTTGATCTACGTAATTCTCTTAGTCGGCCAATTTCTGTACGAAATTACTGAATCGAATTAAAAAAGTTCGTAATTTCGCTAAAATACAGAGAACGAGCTCAACACTTTCGATTCGCATATTTTATTTTCAATTGTCAAATAGAGCTGCTTTCTGTCTGAATTGCGCTCGTCTTTCTGCCTTCTCCTCCTCTTCTCGCTTTCGTTCCTCCTGTTCCATGCGAATCTCATCCTCGAACTTGCTCGCTTTCCGTAGTTGCTCGATCTGTGAAAATGGTAATTAATGCATCAGGAAACATTAATTAACACGGATACGCTTTCGTGAATCTTGAATTTGTCATGGATGTGATTTATTATATCATTGTTTTCCAAGCTTGAAGTTTTATCGACAATACATACACGAACGAAAAAAATAAAGTTTATTAATCGACTCTCAATAATAATTTTATAATGAAACAATGCGAAATATTTATAGTTCGATTATCGATATATCGTACAGGGAGGAGAAAATTAACTTTTTCGTTAACTAATTTTCGTTAACTTTTTCGTTGAATAAATTTTATAGAAAATAATTGGAATATTAATTATAAAAAAAACGATAATTATTGATAAAAAATAAATAAGTAGAGAAGTTAATCATTTTTATAATCATGAAATCAATCTAAAAATATTGTAATATAAATTTATATAAATTTAAATAAAACGACTTGCTGACTCAAGTAAACGTATTAAACGAATTATCATTTTTTTCCTCTCTTCATTTACAATTAATTTGTATTGGAATATGCAACTTTGAATTCACAAAGTATAACTGTATCATTTACTGATAACTCTCGTGAATATTAAATTTTAAGTTAGAAAAAAAAATATGATTTTATGATTTCAAATAATTCACATATAATTAAAACTTAAGAAAATTATTCATACTTTAGCCTCAAAGAAATGTTTAGCTCCTGTTACTCCTACTTCATCCACATCGACTTCTGTAAGACGTGCAAGCTGGCCTAATCCAGAATCTTGTTCCAATTCACCAGCTCGTGCTTTACGATAGATCAATAGAAACTGCAACAATTACAAATCATGTATATTTAACTATTAGAAGAGAAGAAATTCTTTTACAAAATTTTTTTGTTTTGAATCTCTCTTTTAAAGTCTGAAAAAAATTATTTAAAAACAAAATTTCTCAGATTTGTGATAGATATTATATTTAAAGTTTCTTTCTCTAAAATCGATAAAAATTTCTAAATTATCCTGGAGATTATCCAGAAAATATTAAATAAATATTTCATTTATTTCGAACCGATTTACCGATTAAATAAAACTAACATATCGATAAAATATCATTCTTTTTTCATATTAAATTAAGACACGAATCTTATTTTTTAATTTGTCGATTTATTAAATTTAATTTTCATATAATAAAAAAATATATATAAATAAAATACTACGTACAGTTATTTCATTCGCATTATCATCATTATCCACAGCGTACATTTGAAAAAACAGAAATAAAATTATTATCATTATTCGGCCGGAAACGTTTAGCATCGTTATTTCGATATAAAACCGTGCGAGATCTCTGCATCAAGGAAGCAGGATGAGTAAGGAACGGAAGGTGGAACATTGGTCAGCACGGTCGAGTTCAGTGACGCGGAGTGATTCACGATGATCTATGAAACGGGCGGCGATCGCGTGTATGGAGATCGAACGCTTTGTTCGCGGGCCATGAAGAGTCACGTAGGAACGTCCAGGTATGCATTTGCATCGAGGACTTTTCTTCTTGGCGTACACGCGTGTCTTTCGCACTCGCCACTTTGTTCTCCTCTACGCGCGACGAACATCGACCCATCGATTTTCTTAGCGAAAGTTTTCTCTGATAGCATGCAAAATACACTTCGCACGCTCCCGATTTTTCAACAGGTGTTG